ATTCTTTGCGGTATGGACACAGATACTTATTAACATGAGATAGCTTCCTTTGAGCTTGAACGTCTCCACATGGAATGACTGAACAGGCATCGAACTGATGGGTTAAAGGATGACTAGCCTGAGTTACATTGATGACAAGATGAACTTCTGTTGAAAAGAAAAAAGAGAATAAACAAGTGATTATTCAGCTCTTTTTATAGTTAGTTTGGTGGGGGTGGGCCCTGGAGTGACAGTCCATGATTCTGGAGGTGGCGGCATCTTCTTGACTTGGGTGTATGAGTCCATCCTCTTTCCACTGTCCAGACTGCAGTCTCAGTAGTTAGGAGCACTGGATAGGGTCCTTCCCAGGCTGGTCTGAGCTTCCCTTCCTTCCACCCTTTGATAAGGACGTGGTCTCCAGGTTAATGCTGATGTTCTGGAAACTCCAGGGGCAGCACCTGTTCTAGGAGGCCTTTAGTCTTAAGGGAAGAGAAGGTAGAGGATAGACCAAGTATACAATTTTTGAGGAACTGATCTTTTGTTTCAAAGGTAGGGATGTCAGCAGTGGAGTGTAAGTAGGGCAATCCATAGAACATTTCGTAAGGGGAGAGACCAATATCTCTCCGAGGAGCAGTCTGGATTCTTAACATAGCAATAGGAAGACATTTAGTCCATGGCAATTGAGTTTCAAAAGCTAATTTAGTTAAGTGGTTTTTTAGAGTCTGGTTCATCCGCTCTACCCTTCCTGAGGAAGATGGATGCCAATGGGTATGGTATTCCCAATTTATATCTAGTACTTGGGCTAACTTCTTAATGACACGCACAGTGAAATGGGTTCCGTTATCTGAGTCAATATTTTCTATTAGTCCAAATCTGGGTACGATGTTGTCAATTAATGCTTTAACTACATTGCTAGCAGTTGCACTTGAGAGTGAGATTGCCTCTATCCAGTGGGTAAAGTGGTCTATTATTACTAATAAGTATTTTAAATGACCAATTGGAGGCACTTTAGTGTAATCCATCTGAACACTTTGAAAATGGTCTCAGTCCTGGATTTCTTCCTTCAAGGGGCGATTTCCTTAGAACCTGCTTATTAGTTTTTTTACATATCAAGCAACTATCTATAACTTGTTCAGTTGGAGTGTAAATTCCTATACACCCATAAACCCGGAGAACTGCATTGCACATTGCTTGGGGTCCCCAGTGGGTTCCCTGATGTAACTGAGACAAGACCTCCCTCATAAGAGGTTTCGATAACATTTCCCTTTGATCTGATAATATCCATTTCCCTTCCGCATTTTCTTTAGCTCCTATTTTTATTAACCTCTCCTTTTCAATGGAAGAGAAAATGGGGGTTGCAGTAGGAGAAGGAAGGCATGGAGTTAAATGAAAAACAGGTGTTTCAGAAGAAACAGCAATTTGTTTTGCTATCTGATCTGCAAGATTATTTCCCAGACTTGTGAAAGACAAGTGCCTTTGGTACCCTGGGACATGCACAATAGCTATCTCTTCTGGCAGTTGGAGATTGTTGAGGACATGAGCAATGAGCTCTCCATGAATTAATCTTGGCCTATACTATTGATAAGACCCCTTTCCATCCAAATTTTCCCAAATGTATGTGCCACCCCAAAGGCATACTTAGAGTCAATATAGATAGTTCATTCTTGGTTTTGTAAATGTCCCAAAGCTTGGCTGAGTGCAAACAGTTCACACGTTTGGGCAGACCAATCATTACGCAGACTTCCTGATTCTACTTCTTCAAGTGTGTCTCCATCAATCACTGAATACCCATTATGTCTTTTTGCTTCAATCACCCAGGAGGACCCATCTATGAATAAGTGCCGCCCCATCTTGAAGGGAGTTTCTCCTAAGTCTGGTCGAACTTTTGTATGGTAGCCAATTAGATCTAAACATACGTGCTCTCATTTTAAGTTTGGATCCCCCGTTAAAAAGCCTGCTGGATTATGAATTTTTAGTAGTTAATATGAAATCATCCTTTTCCAGTAAGATAGCCTCATATTTTAAAATTCTTGAGTCAGTGATCCATCTCCCTGCTTTCTGATTTAATGTAGTTCTAACGTGGTGGAGCGTGTTTACTGTTAACTTTCCTCCAAAGATTAACTTCCTACTTTATTCAACTAATACTGCTGTAGCTGTGATGGATTGGATACGTTGGGACCACCCACGAGTGACTAGGTCTAAGCACTCCTAGGGCTACCCCCTTATTTACATTAATGAAAAGGTGAAATGGCATTTCTAGGGAGGGTAGAGCTAGAACAGGGACTGTTATGAGCATCTCTTTCAATTCCTCAATCTGCTAGATTTCCTGGGAAGTCCACAAGAGATTATCAGGCTTCCACTGGGCAAGTTTCTCATATAGAAGTTTACTTTTTAATGCATATGAGTCAATCCATAAACGACAATATCCAATTAGTCCTAAAAATTTCCTGAGTTCTTGTTTAGTTTGAGGCATGGGTAGGGAAACAATTCCCTCCACTCTTTCAGGTCCTATTTTTCATTTACCTTCACTGATTAGGTGGCCTAAGTATTTAACTTCAGGTTCTACATACTGAAGTTTCCCTTTTGAGACCTGCAACCCCTCACATTGCAAGTTACTGAGAATGTGCGTAGAGAAGTCACCTACTTCTTTTATGTCTCTACCAGATATAAGGAGATCATCCATGTACTGAAGCAGACATATTTGTTTAGGGACTGTAACTTTCTCTAGTACTTGTTCTAGGATCTGACCAAAGAGGTTGGGGGAGTCTGCAAACCCCTGGGGCAGGACTGTCCATTGATATTGTTGTCTCCGCCCTGAATAGGGGTCTTCCCACTCAAAGGCAAATATATCGTGGCTATCCTCAGTCAAGGGGCATGCCCAGAAGGCATCTTTCAAATCTATCACTGTACACCATTGATGATCATACGGAATTTTGCTAAGAATGGTTTAAGGGTTAGGAACAACGGGGTGAGTGGTCTGGACTGTTTGATTAATAGCTCTAAGGTCTTGCACCAATTGATACAACCCATCTGATTTCTTGACAGGCACGATTGGGTATTGTAAGGAGACATATGGGGTTCAAAAAGCCCATCTTTAACAAGACCCTCAATTACAGGCTTTAGCCCCACTCTGATCTCTAAAGGAATGGGATAGTGCTTTCGACTATATCCCCAAAGGTTTTTAGTTTGATATGTATTGGAAGGATTTGGAGTTTCCCTCTATTTCTTTCCTTTGACTAGACATTGGGATGAATATATTTCTCATCCACAGCAGTGAGTAAATGTAGTGAAATGATGAATCCTTTAGGGCCCACTGGAAGGCCTATGCCTAGCCTTAACATTAAGTCCCTTTCTAATAAATTAGTTCCTGTTTCAGGAATTAATAAAAATTGAATATGTGTAAATCAATCTTAATATGTGACTTCTGTGCTTTCTAAAACTTTTGCCTTAAATCCTTCTCCTTTTACCCTTGAGACTAAAAGTTCTTCTGAAGAGCAGATGAGACCAGGTTGAAGGAAACAAACAGAGGAGCATGAAGTCCCTGAATCGACTAGAAAGGTGATAAATTCACGTTTAGGTCCCACCTCCAAATATATCAAGGGCTCCTGGTGGGACTCAAAATAAAAGAGGCAGAGCCCCTGACTCCCCTATTGTTTCTCAAAAGTCATGAGTGTGTTTCTCTCTTTCTCTCTCTCTAGTTCAGGACACTCGCTCTTGAAGTGGTCTGTTTTTCTACATCGATAACATCTATCTTGTCCTTCTCCCTTCTCAGTCTGAGCATTCTCTGCCCTTGCCCCACCTTGGGGGCTTATTATTTGAGGACCTCGGCCCTCTAAATGGACGCTTGGAGGGATCTAGGCCCCTCATAATCTCTGGTTCCTTGGAAGCCCTGCTTGGAGATGTATGGATTTGGAGCCATCTGCTGGAAGGTAGATAACATAAGTTTTGTCTTGTTTTTGTTTTTCCTTGTCTCTTCTGACATATGCCTTTGGAGCCTCCCTAAGTAGTTCACTCAGGGGATGGTCCTTCCAATTTTCTATTTTTTGTAATTTTCTTGGAATGTCTGACAAACTTTTAGTAACAAAGTGAAGTTTTAACATTCCCTGTCCAAGGGGATTTCCCAGGTCAACTCCTGCATATTGTCTCATTTGCTCCCTCAATCTATCTAAGAACCCAGTGGGTCCCTCATCTTTTGTCCTGTTTAATATCAAATGCTTTAGAAAGATTTCAAGTTTGGGGTACTGATTCTCAAATTCCTTTTATTATCATCTCTCTTAGGTCCTGCATGTTTTCCCGGTGATTTGCATTGTTATTGTCCCACTGAGGGTCGTGGGTGGGAAATTTATGGTCCACAAGAGGAACATTTTGGCCAGGAGGGTGCTCACGTTCCCAAACCACCATAGCAGCCGGAGTGAAGGCACAAGCTGGGGGACCTGAGACAGGAACAGGAAGGGTGGGATTAGGGGCAGCCGGAAGAGTGATGCAAACAGGGGAGGGACCTGAGAAGGGAAGCGGAGCGGGCGGGGGGGATTAGGGGCGCTGAAGGAAGGAAGATGATTTAGAGGATCCCACGTGTTAGTTGTGGGTTGTCGGGGCATGGGAACTTCTTCCCTTTTAGAAGGATTGGCTTCTGACTTTCTCCCTCCGGAGTCTAAAGGGTAAAGGAGAACTGGCCCCTGACGCCAGCAGAGGGCGTAATGGATCCTTCCTGGGAGACAGGGCTCCTATCATTAACATGTTTTATTAAGGGCTGACAAATCCGCTCCTCATTAGACCCAAATTTTGGCCAGAAAAGTGAGGGTTTAAGGATGGGTTCTCAAACCCAAATGAAACAACAATATTTTATCATCTGCTATTTTCGTTTATACTTGGTTCTTGCATTATCTTTCCAATACATTAGCATAAGCCCCAAGGGGCTATCAGAAGGAATTTCATTACTCTCTAGACTTTAAAATTTTCCTGTCTTACTTGAAACATTCTTCACCTTAGGGATTATTAAGGGGGTGGGGCAACCCCTCCTGTTAGAGATTTCTACCCTCCCCCTTCCTAAGGCTTACTGAGGCTTTGGGGAAAAGGGCCCCAATCCCACCTTTTCTGGGATTTCTACCCTCCCCCTTCCTCTTTTGTCTACTCTGTTTGCTGCCACCTCTAGTCAATAGATGGCAGCACGAGACTGCAGAGAACACTCACTCATTCCACAGCCACAATGCTTACTCCCATTTATACACTCTCAGCCTCCAACTTATCCCGACCACCCAGGAAATACTTTGTGCCTTCACGAAATCTCCTACCTTACTCCGTGCACAAGAATTACCTGGTCCTCTTATTGCCGCGGTCTTGCAAGCCTCTCCTACCCGCTTTGCTGAGAATCCAGATTTATTCATTACAATGGGTGGGCCTTGATCTCCCTCACCCTAGGGCCACCGTAACTAGACAGTAGGACGTGTCCCCCATTGGTAGGGTGATCGAAGGCCCCCTTTCCGAAGGAGAATATTCAAGTTCCAAAGATGGACATCAGAACAGTTAGGAATAACGTTCAAAATCCTAGGGAAATTGAACACTCGGACAAAGGATTCTTAGCAAAGCAATTTTACTTCTGCGCAGAGGGGTGCCTCCTTGGCCAGTTGCCATGGGAGCACACCTGAACAAAGGGGCACGAGAGCCTTTATTCCTGACACAAGTCCTGCCTCTGTACCCTTTCCCCATTGGTCGGGGTCGGGTCATACAATCTAAACTGATCCCAATTGGCTAAACATTTGATTTTTCTTAGATAGGGTGGGCACATGAAGGAAAGTGGAGGGAAAGGGGAAGCGGTGTCTGTAATGAGCCAGAAAGTGAGTCCTCTTTCCAAATAAGGAAAGGAATGTGAGCTGGTACTGATAATGCTTGGTACTGTGGCGTGCCTGGGCATTAAACAAAGGCAAGAAGGGAAAAGGAGAAAAAAAGGAGAAAAATTGAGGGGTACTATGAATTAAAGAATACAAGATTGATCAGATTATTTGAAGAGAAACCTCATCACATCCCATACTGTGAAGAGGCATGATTGTAAGTTTCCTGAGGCCTTCCCAATCATACGGAACTGTGAGTCAATTACACCTCTTTTCTTTATAAAGTACCCAGTCTTGGGTATTTCCTTATAGCAATTTGAGAAGGGACTAATATACATGCATTTTCCTTTAAAAAATAAATGTATATTGTAAGTATGTTTAACTTTCTAGCTTGGTAATAGGTATGGGTTGCAGAGAATTACTATGGACTATGGCATATTTTTGGCAATTTATACATTAGTTAATTTTTATGTACTTTTTATTATTGGAGCAAATAAATTCAGATTCTGGACTGTCGTAGGCATCATCTGATCTAACAAACACCATTGTGTCATTCTGAAAAGTGGAAAGCATTAGTAGTTATTCGAATTCAGATAGAAGGGACATAGAGAATTATGGCTTATTTTCATATTAGTTCTCCATCTTGGAGTCATAATTTAATCCACATTATCTTTGTTCATATCTGATAGTTCTTCAGAATTAAAGATATGTTCGTGCATCTTTCACCACTTACTAGTAAGAAGGCACAGTGCTCATAGACATGCTCTTCAAATTTTAGAAGTGATACATATTACATTTGGGGTGGATGAATTTAATCCATTTATTAGGTAAGTTGAAAATGAACAACTTTTAGTGGAGCCTGTCAAGTGATAAAGACCTTAGCTGGTTCAGATAAGTATTTACGGGACTCTTTATCTAGGGCTCTTATGACACCGAAGAGCCAATATTTAACTAAACTTAGGATGAGATCAAGGTGTTCAGTGGAGCGAATGGTAAGCCAAGTCATGGAGATAACAAAGGCAGACCCTAAGCACTGCTCTCTTCTTGGCAAATACAAATTTCTTTATTGTATAAACAGTTACTGATGTTGGAATAAAATTAAAGGATTGAATTAATGGACTACAGATCACTATGGTTATATCTGACATAGATTCAGGCCCTGATCAAAAGCTTGTACTCTAAAACTGTACAACTATGATTACCTACATTTTCAAGAATGAGAATGTCAACTTCTGTCCTTAGGCTCTCTGTCTCTAAGCCTCAGGGCTTCTGCGCATGGTCTAACAGGAAGGGTAAGGCCCTCCTTGTTGGGAATATGCTTAAGGAAGAGAACCTGGGGCTGGTTCCTGCTTCATTCTGGCTTCAATATTACTTGCCTTATCTCAGTATTTCATAATGTGAAACTCGTAACTTATTGTTCAGTTTATGTTAGCATTTTTCTTTTCACATTATAGGCTTTTCACATTACTTGGCATTTACCTGCTCTTCCTTGGTGAGACCCAAGTCTTTTCCCTCTAGGGATTTTCTAAGGGGAAAACAAGTATTTAGGGAGTTATTTCATTTGAATTTATTCCAAATATTCAAATTAACTAAGCTATAATGACTTTTTATTTTAAGTGGTGATGATGTAAAAATCATAGATTGTGTGTACACACATAATGAAAATATTTTTTTCCTGATAAAATAACCCAAGAAATATCTGAAGAGTTAAATTTCTGCCCAAGGTAGAGTATGTCTTCAGTTGGAATCTAGCTTTCTAGGTGTGATGTTTTCTTGTCATATCCTCCATTTCTTGTAAAAATTTGTGAAACTTCTCAATTTACTTGGATGAGGTAGGGGGAGATACAAAGACATGTTTTTAATTAGGAAAGAAATGGACTTAGGGGTACGCTATTTGAATGAAATTTGGATGACTAAAAAACTGAAGAGTTTGGTTTTTGCCTGTGAGAATGCTCTGTCACTGGTTTTTCCATGAAGTTAAATTTCAGCATTTTCCTTGTTAGGTACAAAGCTTAATAGCTGGGCACGTGAATGTTATTATAAATCTTCAATTACAGTAAAGTACTTCTGGTTGCTTCACCACAATTGAGGAATATTTCACATAAAAAATTTTAGTGTTAGTACATTTTTATTCACTTGTGTCACAAGATAAGGGTCTTGTCTAGGTTAATTTCCACGAATTAGGTCAATTTTTACATAGTCATGCAACGATAGTATCTTTTTCTATGAAGAAATTTTCCAGCAGGTGAGAATATTTAAATACCTTTGTATATTATGTTTAAGCATCTTTATATTTTTTTCATCTGCCTCGGATAGTGCCATACTTCTCTAATAACTGAGATAATGAGAAGCCTGTGTGGAACTGTGGAAACTATAGCCACTAGGAACTAATTCTATATCCATGGATCAGCTATTCATTTCATGTGTTTTATGATCACACATAGATACATGAGGTATTGACATCAATGCTCAGTGAAAGAAGCATTGCTTTTTTGGACCATGATGTGACTATTTGAATCTATTGACAAAATATATTGATTGAAAATTCATTTGATATGTTGAAATGTGGCTAATGTCTTAAATACCATATTATTTTGTTGAAGGAATCTAATTGGGAAAGTTAAGCTAGCAACACGAAAATTTTCCATTATATGCAATGTATATTTGGTTTTAATATATAGCCTAATTTGTTTTCCTTTTCTATTTGCTAAATAAGAAGAAAAACTTGTCCCATATTACATGTATGATAAAGCAGTAGATTTTTAATCATAATCTTAGTTTATGGAATGTTATATTTTAACATATATTTTAATGATATATTATTAAAGGTGTACAATTACTTTCAGATATTTTTGATCAGAGAGTTTAAAATTCTGGATCATGTCAAGTGTGTTAGAGTATGAAGGAACCAATGCCTGTTATGTTCTGGAAGCATAATATGGGTTTTTACTTATGAATCTAAAAATATCCCAGCAAACAGACTAGTAGATATATATGCTGAGGAAACTACCTAATCTACTGTCAATTAAATAGATTTGTAAAACTGTGACTATGAAATATAATATTATAGAGGTTTTTTGTTATCGCATTTTATCTTTTGAAAATGTCATGTTCTTAAGAAACTATGTTAAATCAATTTTTTTTTTTCTAGAAAAATGTTAACTGAGCAGTTTACATTGAAACCCTAATAATGGTATCTTTCAGTTTCTAAAGTATTCCATTTTTAATTAGTTAAACTGTAGAGGAGAGTTTACAAGTTTACACACCGCATGTTTTACAAGTAAACATTAAATTGCCAAAAGAATTATCCTGTTGAAATCTAGTTGTGATGATGGAAGCGGAAAAAAGCACTGAACCTTACAGCAAGTAAGGTGTGAAAAAATAATAGAATTGGCTATAGATTACATTATTCCCTTGTCTTCTTAGCAGATGCATCTCTTGATTTACAGCTTCAACAATGACAGAACTCTGTGATCAGCTTGTGGTAACAAGAAGGAAACATGTGGAATGTTCATCACAGCTGGCTTCTAGAGACAACTCAAACTTTCTCTGCTCACATCCTTTCCACTGCCAGATCTATGTAGATGGAATCATCCCGTCTATGTTTGAGGTTTAGTAATTCTTCAGTTTTCCTCAGCAGTGAATAATCAGAAAGTCTTGGTTTGTATCTCAACCTGTCCCATTTTTCTCTTTAATTGGTTTGTCCTTTGCTGTCAGATCTAGAGACTTAGAGTAACAATGTGGTTCTTTTTCTTTTGAATTTTCTTTTCTTTTTCTTTTTTTTTTACTAGGATCTGATTGGTGTTTGCTTTGGCTACCCCAGAAAACCTCCTGAGTCACCCCAGGGACCCACAGGAGAGTACACTTTCAGTATTTCTTCAATAAATGGAATCTTTATGAAGAGCATTTCAAAAGATTACTAACCTGACTTGTATTATCCCATTACTTTTCTTATTGCTGTGGATGTTCGTTAACTACATTTCTCTGTTTTATAATTTTAGCCTTCTTTTCATTTCCTGAGCTCTCCCTGATGGTGGGTCCAACATTTTACTATAATTCTGCTTGCTTCTCATCAAGATACATTCCATCACAGGTAAAATTACTACTCATATAATTCAATCATTATTTTCTAAGACATACAATTTTATTGTTTGCCCACAAAAGGCTTTCCTGAATTATAGGTATCTTTTTCTTTTTTTTTTTTCCTGGACTGTGTCTATAAATCTTTTCCAGTTGACAGAGATCTGCATATTTTGTTCTGATTCTATGTTCACAGTGAATCATTCAAGAACACTAATAATAGCTGTTATTTGTTGAGCCCGTAAGAGGTGCCAGCCAGTGTTCTTTACTTTGTTTTAATTAACAACAACTCTAAGAGGTAAGGGGTATTTCGCAGTTCTAAAGAGGATGCAAGTAAGGGATAGAGAACTTTAGTAAATGGCCCAAAAGCTTATTAAAAATGGTGAAGCTGAGGTTGTAGCTGAAGCAGTGTGGCTCCAGTGTCCACATTATTCACCACATGCCGCACTTTCTCTCCAAAGATTCTTAGATCTTAGACAGGTACATACTGAGTGAGAAACTTATAGGCATTATTTGCTTACTGTAATTATGAAACCCCATGTCCCACAGACTACCATTTTTCATGTAACAGACATGAGCTTGGAAATTTTTATTTATAAATTTATTAAAAAAAATAAAAAAGTCAGCAGAATAACATAAAGAAGAGGTGCACTAATCGTTTTGTAGACAGTTAACTAGAAAGGATTCTGAATTTCTCAACTTTAATCCCATTGTTTTCCAGTGAGTAAACTGAGACAGACTTCTAAATGCATTCAGAAAATGACTCAAATCCAAGCCTTCTTACACTGAACTTGGAATTTCTCTTAGAGTATGCTTCTTTTTGGAATCTGGTAACTAAGATTCTATCTTTGAGTACTCTTGGTATCTAAATAGTGTTATGAATAAAACCATGTCCTACTGTTCTGTATGTCTTTCTACAGTGTCTACTTTCTCCTCTTTCACAACCTAGCTCATCCCAATAATTCACAAAAAAATACTCACTGCTTATTTGGTAGTTCATGATAGTCATGAGTTAGTTCACTTGAGTTCAAAATTAATTGGTGATAATTTGAATATTGTCTGTAAGTGTTGTAAAATTGGTGTATAGGTAAGGATAAAATGGAGAGAAACACAGCTCCTTATTTATCAGGTAAACAGAATCAGACCAAATAATTGCTGAAGTTAACAATGTGATAAATAATATCATAGCATTTATACAGTTTAGAGTCCTGTTGTTTGACATTTAATGAAAGACTAATTAAGACTGAACATCCTTTGAGGCATGAGGCAATGAAGGTCTAACAGTAGAAGACTAGAGCCCTGAGTGACATATTTCATAAGATGTTACTCTTGGTGCTACATAGATCATATCATAAATACCACAAGTACAAACACAAAGGACTTAAATCTATTTCAACTTATTTATTTAGTATTTATTACTACCATCACAGAGTAAGTTTCTTGAGACCAACAATCTGTTGCCTATTCATCACAGCTGACTTCTGTGCCAAGACAAATGTTTTAAATAAGAAGTTATGAAATGTATGAATGGCTGTTGGGACTTTAACTGTTCTCCTGCGTAGACTATTCACTAACTCTAAGAGGTAGAAGCATTGAACTTTTGGCTTAAATTAAAATATTTGAGGAGAAATAGAATCCTTAAGGGAAGATGGGCTCTTTGTGTGAGGAACTCAACAGAGACTTACCAAATGTTTATTGTGTGTAAATCAATATTGAGGATACAACAACGAAGATGCGCTCTGTGACACAATGGATGTGATCATATTCCTGTTCACTGTTTCATTACAGGTCCTATTTTCCTGAGCTCTCACCTCTGATATAAGCCTGGAAGAAGAGTAAATGAGACAGAATAACACTATTACAGAATTTGTCCTACTTGGCTTGTCTCAGGATCCTGGTGTGCAAAAAGCATTATTTGTCTTGTTTTTACTCACATATATTGTGACCATGGTGGGGAACCTGCTCATTGTGGTGACTATTATTGCCAGCCCTTCCTTGGGCTCCCCAGTGTACTTCTTCCTTGCCTGCCTGTCACTTATAGATGCTGCATATTCCACTACCATTTCTCCCAAGTTGATTGTGGACTTATTCTGTGACAAAAAGACTATTTCCTTCCCAGCTTGCATGGGTCAGCTATTTATAGACCACTTGTTTGGTGGTACTGACGTCTTCCTTCTGGTGGTGATGGCCTATGATCGCTATGTGGCCATCTGTAAGCCACTGCACTATTTGACCATCATGAATCAACAGGTTTGCATCCTTCTGTTGATGGTGGCTGTGACTGGAGGTTTTGTGCATTCTGTGTTTCAAATTGTTGTTGTGTACAGTCTCCCTTTCTGTGGCCCCAATGTCATTGACCACTTTGTCTGTGACATGTACCCATTATTGGAACTGGTGTGCACTGACACCTACTTTATAGGCCTTATGGTGGTTTTCAATGGTGGAGCAATCTGTATGGTCATCTTCACCCTTCTACTAATCTCCTATGGAGTCATCCTAAACTCCCTTAAAACTTACAGTCAGGAAAAGAGGCGTAAAGCCCTGTCTACCTGCATCTCTCATATCACTGTGGTTGTCCTCTTTTTTGTTCCCTGTATTTTCATGTATGTTAGACCTGTTTCAACCTTCCCTATTGATAAATTCATGACTGTGTTTTATACAGTTATCACACCCATGTTGAATCCTTTAATATACACGTTGAAAAATTCAGAGATGAGAAATGCTATAGAAAAACTCTTGGGTAAAAAGTTAGCTATATTTAGAATAAGAGTGTCCCTCCTCGTGTAGATAAGGAGGTATGTAGGCAAGGTCTTCCCAGTCAAGTTTTCAGATTTCTAAGGGCATGTCAAGCATCTCAAAGTGGAAAGACAGGATTTAGATGCTCACAGCTCAATTAGGAAATCATCCCATCGTGGCATTTGTTTGAAGTTCAATATCTCAACGTCTATATCCAGGCTGAGTGTGGATGGAGCTGCTTGTTTGCAGGTCCTATTGTGCACGATTCAAATGATAATTTTCATATTTACAAATCTTTGAGACCCGGTATTTCTTCCACATACTCAGCACACAATGGAGAAATGTATAGGTAATAAAATGGAGGCTCCTGTTGAGAAGGGAAGGCTATGGTGCTTCCTTCAGTGTAATTTATTTAAAGTCTTTGTGGAATATACAAGCACTATATTCACAAATATCTGTGAAACAGACCCTGCTCAGACTTCAGCTGAAACTCTACATGCAGTCAGATAATACTCTTAGGAATCTTAGAATTATGTTTGTCTAGTTTAATGTATTCGTGAGACATACTGTTAAATTTTCCCATGGTCTTTCCAAGTGTCTTAACTTCCACACCTTTGAAATGACATTCATTTTGATGACCCTTCTACTTTTGGAGTACTTAGCTCTTTGCAGAGACTGGAAAGGGGAATGAGTTTTATGTTTGAAGCCAGTAATTTCTCGTTCTTTTATGTTTCTTGTAAATTCTGTCTGAAAATGTAACAGTTTATCTTTTAAGCAATATATTTTAAAAAAATCTATGCCTTTTTATATAACACACTGCTATAAGAAACAGCTGCAATTTTCAATATTCTCCTTGGAAATTTTAGCAAAATCCACCTATTCACTTAAGTACATTTTTCATTTTCTACCTTCCTATAGGTGACAGAATTACTAAATTTTTTCAGTGCTGGATGGCGGCTCACTTTTGTCACAGTCTGGAATAGTTACTTCTGTCTTTTAAGCATTCACTTATAATATCCTGGTGGCTGCTATTTTGGGGCACTAAAACCAGTGTCATACACTTTAAGTTGTTGTGGTGGAAATACCACACTTTGATGTACTGTCTTCATGTAAGGTTCAGAGCCCCACAGTTATTATGAGTTATAACAACCACCATATTCTTTTATCTCAAAATTTTGTGAGCCAGGAATTCAGGCAGTTGTTGGCAGGGTATTTCTTCTGTTTTGTGTGGCAAGGACTGGAGTCACTCTCTTATTCACCTGATAACTGAGTATTCTGTAAAACGCAGGATAACTTAATTCACATTTATAGTATATTGGAAGGGATAACCCTTAAGAGATGTTCTGGGTCCCTCTTCCTGTCCTTTTAGATGAAGGACATCAAGATCACTCCATAGAATAGTAAGGCTTTTTACATGTTGCTCAGAGATCCTAGCGGTAGAAAGTAGATGGGTCTGGCAGTTAAGTGCTATGTCCAGAACTGGCACAATGTCACTGGCATCATATTCTATTCAACCGAGTGGTCACATGACCACACCAGATTTGAGGTTTTACAGAAATAGAAGATAACTCTTGGTTGGGAACTGGCAAAGTCATTTTGCCGAGCAGCATGTAGAACAATTGTCTATATCTCAAAAGAGCATATTGGAGTTTTATTCATTTTAAGTTGGATCTATGAATCAACTTGTACTAACATTAACAATATTGTGTGTTCTAGCTGCTGAATACAATATATCTGTTAGGTATTTTTAAAGTTTATTTTTGAAGAGTTTTGTAGTTTTTATCAATGTAGGGATCTTCCTTATCTATTCCTAAGTGTTTGTGTTTTCAGATTTCATCACAGGTTTTTAATTTTTTAAAAAGTTGATAGTTTATATAAAGGAATTGAATTTTTTATTTGACACTTGAGTCCTATAAATTTGCTAAATTATTTCTCATTCCTACAAAGTTACGTCTGTAGATTCTTTAGGGTTTTCTGAAACACTATCATGTTTTCTACAAGTAAGGATAGCTCATTACTTGGAAAGATATTGGAGTGTTTCAGTTCCCTTTGTGTCATTTTTAGAAGGTAGTCCTTTCCCTACATTCTACCTAATTCATCTAAGCTGTCCAGTTAACTGAAATAATGTATTTCATAACAACGCTTTTCTAACCTTTTAAAGTCTAAAGGATCTATGGGATGATTATTTGTTTTATTATTTCTGATATTGGTTATTTGAATTTCCCTTTGTTCTCTCTTGCCAGCAGTTTATTAATTTCATTATTAAAGTACCAATTTTTGGCTATTTTTCTCTATTTTATGTTTTCCATTTTATTGGTTTTTGATTTTGTACTTATATTCTTTTGTTTTCTTACCTTGGCTTGTATTTACTCTTCTTCTTCTAGTTTCGTAAGGTGAAGGATAAGATGGCTGCTTTTAAACATTTATTTTAAATGTAAGCATTTATAGCTATCCATTTTTCTTTAAGTAGTGTTTTGATTACACCTCACACATTTTGATATGTTTCTGTTATTGCTTAGTTCTAAATAATTGCAAATTTCCATTATACCTTTTGCTTGATTCATAGGTTTACTAAATATTTATTGGCATGTTTCCCAGTATTTGAAGTCTATTCTAGATATATTTATGAGTTATGTATTTATTAATAGCAAATTATTTCAAAACTTAGTGATTCAAACAGTATGTACTCCTTCTCAATTTCTGTAGGTCAGGAAACTAAGAATGGTTTGGCAGGTTTCCATGCTTCAAAGTCTCTCACAAAGCTGTAATCAAGGTGCTTTTGGGGCTACCATCTCATACGAAGGCTTGGCTGAGGAAGGATCCACTTCCACACTGGGTGTTGGTATTAGTAGTTATTTGAATTCATAGAGAATTCACATAACTGGAAGGGACATAGAGAATTAGGTATTATTTTCATATATTAATTCTTCGTCTTGGAGTCATAATTTGAACCACAGTATCTTTGATCATATCTGATCGTTCTCTAGAAATAAACATAGGTTTGTGCATGTTTTACCACTTACCAGTAAGAGATCACAGCGCCTTTAGACATGCTCTTCAAGTGTTAGCAATAATATATATTACATTGAGGGTGGATGAATTGAAAACATGTTAGGTAAGTTGAAAATGACCAATTTTCAGTGGAGCCCATTATGTGATAAAGACTTGAGCTGGTTCAGATAGGTGTTTATGGGACTCTTTATCTAAGGATCTTATAGCAGAAAAATCCAATATTTAATTAACTTATGATGAGATGAAGGTGTTCCATGGAGCCAATGGTAAGCCAAGTCATGGAAATAAAATGGAAGCCCTTAAGCACTGCTCCCTTGTTGGCAAATAAAAATTTCTTTATTGTAGAATCAGTTATTAAATTGATATTGGAATAAAATTTAAAAATTGAATGAATGGAGTGCAGATCATTATGATTTTGTCTGACACAGTTTCAGGCCTTGATCAAAAGCCTGTACTCTAAAACTGCAGCACTATGATTGCCTGTCTTTCCAAGAATCAGAATGTCAACTTCCATTCTTAGGCTCTCTGCCTCTCAGCCTCAGGGCTTCTTTGGTATGGACTTTGTAACAGGAAGGGTAAGGCCCTCCTTACCAGGAATATTTTTAGAGAAGAAAACCTGGGACTGGTTCTCCTTTCATTCTGGCTGAAATATTACTTGCCTCACCTAAGTATTTCATAATGTGAAATCATATTTTATTATTTAATTTACTTTTGAGTTTTTCTTCTCATATTACAGGCTTTTGACATTATTTGGCACTTAGCTACTTTTGCTTAGCAAGAGCCAAGTGTTTTTCCTCTAGGGATTTTCTAAGAATAAAAGTTTTCAGAGAGATTAGTTCATTTGAATTTGTTTCAAATATTCTAATTAACAAATCTATAATGACCTTACTGTCTTGTTTATTTAAAATATTGTTGATGTAAAAGTCATAGACTCTGCCTACAAACATAAATGGATGAATTATTTTCCTGATAGAATAGCCCAGAAGATATTGAGAAAGTGATTATTATTTGCCCAAGATAGAGTATGTCTTTGGTTGGTATCTAGTCCTCTAGATGTAATGTTTTCTTATCATATCCACTATTGCTTGTAAAAATGTGGGAAAGGTCTAAATATCCTGGGATGATATTGGGGAGATATAGAGACATGCTTTCACTTAGGAGAGAAGTGGTCTTAGGCATATGTTAGTTGAATGACTGAAAGAGTGAAGAGTTTGGCTTCTGCCTATGGGAAAGTACTGTCATTGGTTTTTCCATGAAGTTAAATCTCACCATTTTTCCTGATAGGTACAAAGCTTAGTAGCTGGACCCCTGAACGTTATTCTAAATCCTCAGTCATAGTAAAGTACTTCTGGTTTCTTCACCATAATTGAGAGAACTTTCAAGTAACAAATTTTAGTGTTGATACTTGTGCCAATAAATAATGGGCTCATCTTGGTTAATTTCTAGTATGTCAATTTTTATATAGTCATGCAAACTTAGGATCTTTGTTTTTTATGAAGAAAATTTTCAGCAGGTGAGAACATTCAACTACCTTTGTAGAATAAAAATTAACATTATGTTTAAACATCTTTATATTTCGGTCATCTGCTTTGGGCAGTGCCATACTTCTTTGAAGACTGAGATAATGAGAAGCCTGTGTGGAACTATGGAAACGGTAGCCACTAGGAGCTAATTCAAAATCCATTGATCAGCCATCTATATTCATGTGTTTTATGATCACACATAGATGCATGAGGTATCTACAGTAACCATCAATGAAAGAAGCATTGCTTTTCTGGACCAAAATATGAGTATTTGAAACTGTTGACAAGAGATACTCATTAAAAATTTATTTGATAAGTTGAAAGGTAGCTAATGTCTTAAATACCATATGATTTTGTTGGATAAATTCTAATTGGGAAAATTAAGCTTAGTATGTACAAATATTAAAACACAAGATAGATAACAAAATTAACCAAAAAATTGAAAACCTAAAATATACAATAACAAATTAAAAACTCAGTGATTGGATTTAATGCCAAATTAGATGAAAAATTAGAGAATTTGCAAATTGCAAGAAATATTAGAAGAAAATACGCAGAACAAAGCAGAGAGAAGAAAAAGCAAATGAAGAAAATAGTATAAAAGAGATATAAAAACACAACACAAAACTCGGAGACACTTTTAATTTAATTAAAACTCCAGAAAAAGAAAAAATTCAGGTAGGCAAAATATTTGAAGAGATATAACTGAAAATTCTCTAAAATTACTGAAAGAATAAAGTTATGAATTTATTAGATGTTAAAAATTTCATGAAAAATGAATTTTAAAAAGAATAGTTTGTTTTAAAAGGCTAAACAGAAAAGCGACAGCAGAATAACAGCAACATAAAGACAAAAATTTTAAGAACATATTGCATTCAAGAAAATAATAATAAGGCCAAGCGTGGCGCCTCATGCCTGTAATCCCAGCATATTGGGAGGCCAAGGCAGGTGGTTCACTTGAGGCCAGGAGTTATCGGTACATTTTTGTTTACTTGTCTCACAAATAAGGGTCTTGTCCAGGTTAATTTCCTCTCATTATGTCAATTTTTATATAGTCATACAAAGATAGTGTTTTGTTTTCCTATGAAGAAATTTTCCAGCGGGTAAGAATATTTAATAACCTTTCTACAATATGTTTAAGCTTCTTTATATTTTGGTCATCTGCTTTGGATAGTGCCATACTTCTCTAATGAGTAATAATGAGAAGCCCGTGTGGGACTGTGGAAACTGTAGCCTCTAGGAAGTATTTCTGTGTCCATGGATCAGCTGTTTGTATCAATGTGTTTTATGATCACACATACATGTCTGAGGCATCTACATTAACGTTTAGTGAAAGAAGCATTGGTTTTCTGGATCACGATGTGAGTATTTGAAACCACAGACAAAAGATATTTATTGAAAATTCATGTGATATGTTGAATGTAGCTAATGTCTTAAATACCACACGATTTTGCTGAAGAAATTCTAATTGGAAAAGTTAAGTTAGCAAACATAAAAAATTCTCAGAATATGCAATATATATTTGGTTTTAATATATAGCCTGATTTGTTTTCCTTTTCTATTTGCCATATAAGAAGAAAAACAGGTTTCATATACATGTATATAAACCAATTGTTTTATAATCATAATATTTGTTTATGGGATATTATATTTTATATGATACATTAGTAAAGGTGTACAATTACTTTCAGGTATATTTGATTAGAGAGTTTAAAATTGCAGATCATATGAGATGTATTAGAGTGTTAAGGAACCAATGACTCTTATATTCTGGAGCATATTATAGGTTTTTGTTTATGTATCTAAAAATAATCTCAGCAAACATACTAGTAGGTATATAGGCTCAGGAAAGTATATGGTCTACTGTTATTTAAATAGATTTATAAAACTGTGACTGTGAAATATAATAATATGGAGATTTTTATGTTTTTATGACATTTTATCATTTGAAAATGTGTCTTTAGGAAATGTTTAAATCGTTTTTTTTCTAGAAAAATGTTAACTTAGCAGTTTACATTGAAAGTCTAGTAATGCTATCTTTCAGTTTCAAGGTATTATATTTTAAATACTTAAATTATAGAAGACAGTTTATATACCTATTTTTTACAAGTAAACATTTAAATTGCCAAAAGAATTATCCTGTTGAATTTCAACTATCTGTTGAAATAGTTTTGATGATGAAAGGAGGAAAAGGCACTAAACCTTGCAGCAAATAATGTGTGAATAAATAACAGAATTCTCTATAGACTACATTATTCCCTTGCGTTCTTCAGCGGGTGTCTCTCTATCAGTCTATAGCTTCAAGAGTGACGGAACTCTGGAATCAGCTGGAATTGGTAATGTGAATGAGACGTGGATTTTTCATCACAGCTGGATTCTAGAGACAGCTCAAACTCTCTCTGTACATGTCCTCTGCCACTGCCAGATCTATGTAAATGGAATAATCCTGTCTACATTTGAGGTTTAGTAATCTTGCCGTTTTGCTCAGCAGTGAGTACTCAGAAAGTTTGGGTTTGTATCTGTACTTGTCTCATTGTTCTCTGTAATATAAGTTTGTCTTTAACTGTCAGATCTAGAGACTTTGAAGAACAATTTTTTTTTTTCTTTTAAATTTTGTTTTCTTTTTTTTTTTAACTAGGATCCTGTCTGTGTTTGTTATGGCTACCCCCAAAAGCCTCCTGAGTCACCCCAGCAAGCCACAGGAGGTGCACTTCCAGTATTTCCTCACTAAAAGGAATCTTTCTGAAGCAGATTTTAAAGAATACTAGCCTCACTTAATTATCTCATTAATCTTCTTATAGCTTGTGAATACTCATTTAGTAACTAAAATTTCTCTGATTTCTGATTTTAGCCGCCTCTTCATTTCCTGAACTCTCCCCGATGGTGGGTTCAACTTTTTCACTATAATTCTGTGCTTCTCATCAAGATATATTTCATCACAGATAAAATTACTATGCATGTTATTAAATCATTATTTTCTAAGGCATACAATTTTATTCTGTGCACCCAAAAGGCTTTCCTGAATTATAGGTATCTTATCCTTTTTTTTTTTTTTTTCCTGGACTATCTCTATAAATCTTTTCAAGTTGACAAAGATCTACATGATTTGTTTTGATTTTATGTTCACAGTGAAGCTATCATTTTTGAGCCCTTCCCAGGTGCCTGCCAGTATTTTAGGAACTTTACTTAGTTTTAATAAAACAACAACTGTAAGAGGTAAGGACTATTGGGGTCCCCCTTATAAAATGATGAAAGTAAGGAACAGAGAGCTTTAGTAAATGACCCAAAATCTCTATTTGGAAAAAAAAAATAGTGAAGTTGCAGTTGTAGCTGAAGTAGTGTGGCTCCAGTGTCCACATTATTCACCATATGCTACATTTTCTCTCTAAGAATGTCTCAGATCTTATAGGTACATACTCGGTGATAGACTTACAGTCACTATTTACTGTAATCATGAAATCCCATTTCCCACTGACTACCATTTTTCAGTAAGGGTCATGAGCTTGGAAATTTTTATTTAATTGTAAATTTATAAAAAATGAAAAAAAATGTTAGCAGAATACCGTAAAGGAGAGGTACACTCATAGTTCTGCAGATAGTTGACTAGAAAGGAGTCTGAATTTCTCAAATGTAATCCTATTGTTTTCCAGTGAGCAAACTGAGATAAGACTTGTAAATGCGTTCAGAAAATGACCCAAATCCATGCCTTTTTACACTGAACATGGAATTTCTACTAGAACATGCTTCATTTTGGAATCTGGTAACCAGGATTCTTCTTTTTGCCTACTCTTGGTATCTAAGTAGTGTTATGAATAAAACTGCATCCCGCTGTTCTGTACCTTTTTCTACAGTGTCTATTTTCTCCTCTCTCTCTACCTAGTTAATCTCAAGAATTCAGAAGAAAAAAACTCATGGCATATTTGGTAGTTGGCGATAGCCGTGAGTTAGTTCACTTGAGTTCAAATTAACTGCTGAAAATTTGAATATTGTGTGTAAATATGGTAAAAATTGGAATATAAGCAAGGATAAAATGGAGAGAATCACAGCTCCTTATAAGGTGGACAGAAAGTCAGACTAAGTAATTGCTAAAGGGAACAATGTAATACAAATATAATCGTTATTTATACAGTTCAGAGTCCTGTCTTTTGGCATGTAATGAAAGACTCATGAATACTGAACATCCTTCGAGGCATGAAGGAATGGAGTCTAATAGTAGAAGGCCAGAGTACTGAGTGAGATATTTCAGAAAATGTTATTCTTGGTGCGACCCAGATCATACTGTAAAGATACCAGAAATACAAACACCAAGGGCTAAAGCTATGTCAATTTATTTATGTAGAGTTTATTACCACTACCAATCAATTTATTTTATATAGAGTTTATTACCGCTACCAAAGAGTAAGGTTTTTGAGACCAAGAACCCATTGCCTATTCATCACAGCTGACTTCTATGCCAAGAAAAATGCTTTAAATAAGAAGTTTTGTAATATATGAATGGCTATTGGAGCTTTAACACTCCTTCTGTATGGAATATTCACTAAAACATGGAGGTAGAAGCCTTTACCTGTGGCTGAAAATAAAATCTTTGAGGAGAAATAGAGTCATCAAGGGAAGATGGGCTCTTTGAATGAGAAACTCAGTAGAGACTTACTCAATGTTTATTGTGTTTTAATCACTATTCAGGATACAACAGTGAAGATGTGCTCTGTGACACAATGGATGTGATCATATTCCTGTTCATTATTCCATTACAGGTCCTGTTCTCCTGAGCTCTAACCTCTGATACACCTTCTGAAAAAGAGTAAATGAGACAGAATAACAGTATTACAGAATTTGTCCTCCTGGGCTTCTCTCAGGATCCTGATGTGCAAAATGCATTATTTGTCATGTTTTTACTCACATATATTGTGACCATGGTGGGGAACCTGCTCATTGTGGTGACTATTATTGCCAGCCCTTCCTTGGGCTCCCCAATGTATTTCTTCCTTGCCTGCCTGTCATTTATAGATGCTGTGTATTCCACCACCATTTCTCCCGTATTGATTGTAGACTTACTCTGTGATAAGAAGATTATTTCCTTCTCAGCTTGCATGGGCCAGCTATTTATAGGCCACTTGTGTGGTGGTGCTGAGATCTTCCTTCTGGTGGTGATGGCCTATGATCGCTATGTGGCCATCTGTAAGCCACTGCACTATTTGACCATCATGAATCGACAGGTTTGCATCCTTGTCTTGGTGTTGGCTGTGACTGGAGGTTTTGTGCATTCTGTGTTTCAAACTGTTGTTGTGTACACTCTCCCCTTCTGTGGCCCCAATGTCATTGACCACTTTTACTGTGACGTTTACCCGTTATTGGAACTGGCGTGCACTGACACCTACTTTATAGGCCTCGCTGTTGTTTTCAATGGTGGAGCAATGTGTATGGTCATCTTCACCCTTCTGCTAATCTCCTATGGGGTCATCCTAAACTCCCTTAAAACCTACAGTCAGGAAGGGAGGGGTAAAGCCCTGTCTACCTGCAGCTCCCACATTACCGTGGTTGTCCTGTTTTTTGTTCCCTGTATTTTCATATATGTGAGACCTGTTTCAAACTTTTCTATTGATAAATTCATGACTATATTTTTTACAGTTATTGCACCCATTTTGAACCCTTTTATATACACGTTGAAAAATTCAGAGATGAGAAATGCTATAGAAAAACTCTTGTGTAAAAGTTAACAATATTTAGAATAAGAGTGTCCATTCTCTTGTAGATAAGGAGGTATGTAGACAAGGTCTTCCCAGTGAAATGTTCAGACTTCTAAGGATAATTCAAGGATCCCAAAGTGGGAAGGCAGGACTGAGATGCTCCCAGCTCAATTAAGAAGTCATCCCATCATGGCATCTGTTTGAAGTTCAAGATCTCAGCCTCTATATCCAGACTGAGAGTGGATGGAGCTGCTAGGGTTCAGGTCCTATTGTGCACATTTTAAATTATGGTTTTTCTCTATTATACATCTATTGAGTCAGGATATTTCTTCCATATGCCGGGCACAGAATGGAGAAAGGGAGGAACACGTAATTAAAATAGATGCTTCTGTTCAAAAGGGAAGGCTACGGTGATTCCCTCTGAGTAATTTATTTAAAGGCCTGGGGAATATACAAGCACCATATTCACAAATGTCTTTGAAACTGGCCCTTCTCAGGTTTGAGCTGAAACTCTATTTGCCATCAGAAAATACTCTTAAGATTCTTAGAATTATGTTCGTACAGTTTAAAGTACTTTTGAGACACACCATTAAATTTTTCTGAAGTCTTTTCAACGTGTCTTAACATCCACAACTTTGAAATGACTTTTATTTTGATGACCTTTCTTACTTTTAGAGTGCTTAGCTCTTTGCAGAGACTGGAAAGGGAAACGATTTTTATCTCTGAAACCATCAAGTTCTGGCTCTTTTATGTTTCTTGTAAATTCTGTCTGAAAATGTAACAGTTAATCTTTTAAGTAATACATATATATATTTTAAAAATCTATGACTTATAAGGTACAGTAGTGCTATAAGAAACAGCTGTAACTTTCAATATTCTATTTGGAAATTTTAGCCAAATCCACCTATTAAGTACATTTTTTATTTTCTGCCTTATTATAGGTGACAGAATTACTAAATTTTTTCAGCACTGGATAGTGACTGACTTTTTTTATAGCCTGCAGAACAGTTACATCTGTATTTTCAGCCTTTACTTATAATATCCTGGAGGCCCGTATTTTCGTATACTAAAGCCAGTGCCATACACTTTCAATTGTTGTTATGGAAGCACTACACCTTGACTTGCCACTTTTTATTCTGGTTCTTTCTTCGTGTATGGTGCAGGACTCCACATTTTGTGATTTCATACAACCATCATTTTATTTTATCTCAAAATTTTGTGAATCAGGAATTCAGATAGTAGTTGGCTGGGTATTTCTTCTGTTTTGTTTGGCAAGGACTGAAGTCACTGTCTTATTCAACTGATAACTGAGATTTATGTAAATGCAGGATAACTCAATTCATATTTGTAGCCTATTGGAAGGGATCACAGTAAGAGATGCGCTGGATCCCTCTTCCTTTCTCTTTAAATGAAGGAACACAAGATCACTCCAGAGAATAGTCCAGCGTTTTACATGGTGGTCAGATATCCCATTGGTAGAAAGTAGTTGGGTCCAGCCAGTTAAGGGCTATGTCCAGAACTGACACAATGTCACTTGCATCATATTCTATTTGTCACAGGGATCACATGACCACCCAGATTTGAGATTTTACAGATATAAAAGATAATCTTTGATGGGGAAGTGGCAAAGTCACTTTGCAGAGCAGCATGCAGAACAATTGTCTACATCTCAAAAAGAGCATATTGGAGTTGTATTCATTTTAAGTTGGATCCATAAATCATCCTGTACTGACAACATCTTAGCAATGTTGGGTTTTCTAATTCCTGAATACAGTATATCTGTTAGGTATTTCGAATGTTTAGTTTTGAAGAGTTTTGTAGTTTATATTCATGTAAGGATCTTCCTTATCTATTCCTCAGTATTTATGTTTTCAGATTTCATCACAGATTTTTAATTTAAAAAAAATTCCAATTGTCATTGTTGCAAGTATATGTAAAGGAAATGGAATTTTTTTATTTGACACTTGAGTCCTATAAACTTGCTAAATTTACTTCTTATTCCTACAAAGTTATTCTTTAGGGTTTTCTGAAGTGCTATCACCTTAGGTACACGTAACGAAAGCACATTACTTGGAAAGAGATACGAGGTGTTTCAGTTTTTTTGTGCATGTCATTTTTAGAAGGTTGCCCTTTCCCTACATTTTACCTAATTCATCTAATCTGTCAAATTAATTGAAATGATGTATTTCATAACAATCCTTTTCTAACCTTTTAAGTCTAAAGGATCTATGGGTCATTATTTGTTTTATGATTTCTGATGTTGGTAATTTCATTTTCTCTTTCTTTTGATCACTCATGCTGGCAATTTATCAATTTCATTATAAAATTCCAACTTTTGGCTATTTTCATTTACTCTATTTTATGTTTTCTATTTTATTGGTTTTGATATTTATGTCCTTTCGTTTACTTACCTTGGCTTTTATATATTCTTCTTATTCTAGCTTCTTAAGGTGAAGGTTCAGATGGCTGCTTTTGAACATTTATTTAAAATGTAAGAATTCATAGCTATATATGTTTCTTTAAGTACTGTTCTGATTACACCTTACACATTTGGATATGTTTTTCTTATTGCTGATTTCTAAATATTTACTTATTTCCATTATACTTTTTTCTTTGATTCATAGATTCACTAAATATTTATTAGCATGCTTCCCAATATTTGAAGCATATTCTAGATATATTTATAAGTTATTTATTTATTCATGGCAAATTATTTCAAAACTTAGTGATTCAAACAATATGTACTCATTGTCAATTTTTGTAGGTCAGGAAACTAAGGCTAGTTTAGAAGGTTCCCATGCTTCAAGGTCTCTCACAAAACTGTCATCAAGGTGCTGGTTGGGGTTACCATCTCATATAAAACTTGGCTGAGGAAGGATTTACTTCCACACTGATATTGGATGTAGGTCCTATTTTTACATTAGTTCTTCATCTTGGAATCATAATTTAAACCATGGTATCTTTGACCATATCTGATAGTTCTTCAGAATTAAACATGTTTGTGCAGTTTTAGCACTTGCCAGTAACACAGCATAGCACTTGTAGACATGCTCTTTGAATTTTAGCAGTAACACAGATTACATTTGGGGTGGAATAATTTAATCCATGTATTAGGTGAGTTGAAAATGACTAACTTTTAGTGTACCCTCTTGTGTGATAAGTGTCTACATAAAGTATTTATGTAATAAATATTTTAGCTGGTTCAGATAGGTATTTATGGGACTCTTTATCTAAGACTTTTATGACATAGAGATCCAATATTTAACTAAATGTATAATGAGATGTAGGGATTCAACGGACCCAGTGGTAAGCCAAGTCATGGAAATAACAATGGAAGTCCTTGAATACTGCTCCCTTGTTGGCAAATACAAATTTCTTTTTTTTTTTTTTTTTGAGACGGAGTCTCGCTGTGTCGCCCAGGCTGGAGTGCAGTGGCCGGATCTCAGCTCACTGCAAGCTCCGCCTCCCGGGTTTACGCCATTCTCCTGCCTCAGCCTCCCGAGTAGCTGGGACTACAGGCGCCCACCACCTCGCCCGGCTAGTTTTTTGTATTTTTTAGTAGAGACGGGGTTTCACCTTGTTAGCCAGGATGGTCTCGAACTCCTGACCTCGTGATCCGCCCGTCTCGGCCTCCCAAAGTGCTGGGATTACAGGCTTGAGCCACCGCGCCCGGCCACAAATTTCTTTATTGTAGAAACAGTTATTGAATTGATATGGGAATAAAATTTAAAAATTGAGTTAATGAATGTATTAATCTGTTTTCACACTGCTGGTAATGACATACCCAAGACTGGGAAGAAAAAGAGGTTTAATTAGACTTACAGTTCCACAGGGCTAGGGAGGCCTCAGAATCATGGTGGGAGGTGAAAGGCACTTCTTATATGGCAGTGGCAAGAGAAAAATGAGGAAGATACAATTCAAGTTGATATTTGGGTGGGGACACAGCCAAACCATATCAGTGGGCTACAGATCATTATTGTTATATCTGACATAGATGCAGGTCTTGATCAAAAGCCAGTACTCTCACCTAAAACTGTAGCACTGTGATTACCTATTTTTGCAAGAATCAGAAAGTCAACTTCCCTTCTTAGGCTCTCTGCCTCTGAGCCTCAGGGCTTCTTAGACATGGACTTTCTAATAGGAAGGGTAAGGCCCTCCTTACTGGGAACACTTTTAGAGAAGAGAACCTGGGGCTGGTTGTCTTTTATTCTGGCTGAAATGTTACTTGCCTTACCTACATATTTCATAACATGAAATGCATAATTTATTATTCAATTTACTTTAAAATTATTTTTTTCATAATGCAGGCATTTCACATTACTTGTCATTTAGTTATTCTTCCTAGCAATAATCAGTTCTTTTATCTCTAGCAATTTTGTAAGAAAAAAGTGTACAGAGAGGTTACTTCATTTGAATTTGTTCCAAATATTCTAATTAACTAGTCTGTAATGACCTTACTGTCTCTTTCTAAAATATTATTGATGTAAAATTCATAGATTGTGTCTACACACATAAATGAAAGAATTATTTTTCTGATGGAACAACCCAGGAGATATCAAAAAAGTTAACTTCCTGCCCAAGGTAGAGTATGTCTTCACTTGGTATCTGGTCTTCTAAGTGTAATGTTTTTTGTAATATCTACCATTGCTTGTAAAAATGAGCGAAAGGTCTCAATTTCCTGCAATGAAATTGGGGAGACATAGAGACATGCTTTTACTTAGGAAAGAAGTGGTCTTATGGATATGCTAGAGTTTTTAAATGTAAGTGAGACTTAGAGAAGTTCAGTAAGTGACTCAAAGTCACATGGTAAGTGGTAAAGTTGGAGTTACAACTGAGGCAGTGTGGCTCCTCTTTCCATATTATTCACCACATGCTACGCTTTCTCTCCAAGGATTTCTTGGATCTGAAATAGGCACATATTGAGTGGGAAATCTGTAGTCATAAGTTACTCACACTACTCATGAAACATTTACCACTGACCGCCATTATTCATGCAACAGTCATGAGCTTGGAAATTGCCATTTAATTATAAATATATGAAAAATGAACAAAAGCAGAATAGAATAAGGGACAGGTGCACTAATAGTTTTGTAGATGGTTGACTAGAAAGGATTCTCAGTTCATTTAATTTAATCACATTGTTTTCCAGTGAGCAAACTGAGACAGACATGTAAATGCATTCAGAAAATGAATCAAATTGATGTCATCTTCCAGTGAACTTAGAATTTCTCTTTGAGTATGCTTTTTTTTTTTTGAATCTGGACACTAAGGTTCTATTTTTGAGTACTCTCAGTATCTAAATAGTGTTATAAGTAAAACCATTTACCACTGTTCTGTAACTCTTTCTACACTGTCTATTTTCTTCTGTGTCATTATCTAGTTCACCTGAAGAATTTGGAAAAAAATACTCACAGCTAATGTGGCAGTTGGTGATAGCCATCAAATAGTTTTCTTGAGTTCAAAATTATTTGCTGAAAATCAGGATACTGTATGTTTATATGATAAAAAAATTGTAGAATAGGTAAGGATAAGATGCAGAGATGTACAGCTTCTTATAAGGCAAACAGAGGGTCAGACCAAGTAATTGCTACAGTGAATAATGTGATAAATAGGACTTTACTATTTATACAGGTTAATGTCCAGACTCTTGACATTTAATGAGATATTTATAAAGACTGAACATCTTTCGAGGCATGAAGGACCGAACGTGTAACTGTGGAATGCCATAGTACTGAGTGAGATATCTCAGAAGATGTTATTTTTGATGCTACACAGAACATACAGTAAAGACACCGCAACAACTACAAACTCAAAGCACTGAGTCTTCGTTAATTTATTTAGAGTTTATTACCATCATGAGAAAGTAACTTTCCTGAGACCAATAGTCTGTTGCCTGTATGTCATAGCTGACTTCTGTGCTAAGAAATATGTTTTAAATCAGGAGTTATAAAATATATGAATGGCTGTTGGGCCTTTCACTCTTCTGCTATACAGAATATCCACTAAAAGTTAGAAGCAGAAACTCTGCCTGTAGGCTCAAAATAAAATCTTTGAGGGGATGAGGAACTCAGTAGAGACTTACAAAATATTTATCGTCTGTGTAAATCACTATTGAGGATACAACAATGAAGATGTGCTCTGTGACATCATGGATGTAATCATATTCCTCTTCACTACTTCATTACATGTCCTGTTCTTCTGAGTTCTCAACTGGGACACAAGTTTTGAAGAATACTAAATAGGACTGAGTAACAATATTACAGGGTTTGTCCTCCTTGGCCCAACTCAGGATCCTGATGTGCAAAATGCATTATTTGTAATGTTTTTACTCATATACACTGTGACTATGGTGGGAAACCTGCTTATTGTGACTATTATTGCCAGCCCCTCCTTGGGCTCCCCAGTGTACTTCTTCCTTGCCTGCCTGTCATTTATAGATGCTGTGTATTCCACCACCATTTCTC